CATCAGTAAGAAACGGGATAATAATTCCATAATTTTCGTCTTTGTTTGGTAAATAATTGCAAAAAAAGGCGCGTTTTTTCTCCTAAGAGTTTCATGAAACTTTCGCAAATATCAACAGCACCAAATTGTTTTTCAACATGGTTGACAACCGAAGAAAGCCTTTCTATCTTTGAACATCCAAGCAGTCAAACTACGAACATCTCGCCTTTTGTAATAGCATGATAGCCCAGAAAAAACAGTTTTTCTTGAAAACGGCTAAAAACGGCGGTTTAAGTAAATTAAGATGAACTCATTACATGCCAGTTTATCCATTTCCATTTCCATTTTGTTTGCCGAAAGTTAACAAAATTTTAAAAGCTTACATTAAATCATAAATGAAAATAAATCAGACAATTTTTGAGGTTATGCAAATAAGTCAGTTTTCTTTGCAAACAAATGATAAAAAGTCACTTTTTTTTAAATTAGGACATAGCTTCTCACTTATATTTTTGTTTCCCATTAAAAATGTTCCTTGAGTTATTCGAACTTTATAAAAAAAATGCACTTTAAACTTAAGAAATAAACCGGTTGCGCAAACAACGTGTCAATAACGTTTTGTAAGTGTAACTTTGTTTGATTGCTGTCTAACGGTGATTTTTATTTTACAAAAATAAAGTGAAGTTTCTGTTATTTTGGAGTATTCCCTATAGAATGGCATCAAAAAATAATGTAAAACTGCGTTTACGAAATTGGAATTTCGCACAGCCAAATTAATCATTTGACCTAATGTGATATGGTTGGAAAGGTAATTGAAATACCTTTCATTGGCGCGGACTCGTCCATTATCTATATACCCTTGTGGTCAGCTGTTAAGTTAAGTTACATTTTGACCAGTTTTGGTTTTTTATTTTGTTAATCAAATGTTTATAGATTTTTTTTATAAAAGTCTAGCACATTACCTAACCAGAACCACATAAATCTACATTTCAAACTTCTTACAAAAATTATAAAAATTCAACAAACTTTAACAATTACACCCAAAAATTGTAAACTTTTTGTTCAGAATTTTTAGGAATGCAGTTTTGTAGTCCATTAAATTTAAGTAGGTAAAAGTGAAAATTTAAAGACGCTAGGAAATCGCGTTCATTTTTAATAATTTTTTGGCTGACTGTGCAAAGCATTTTCTTCTGTATAAAAGGCACCATCCCAAGATAAAACGTGAGTGAATTTAACCCCTACTTGGTTTCTTAGATTTTTTAATAACTAATCTTTATATATGGACCACACTAAAAGCTCCTTTTCATATAAAAATTCGTACGTGTCCTACCCGTGACAAACGTTGTCCCACCCGTGACAGAGGAATTTAGGATTTTTTGTATAATAAATCCATTATTTTTCTTTGTAGTTTTTGCTTTGTTTATGTTCCTGGTTATTTGTTTTATTATAAGACATCAAGAATTTATATTGGGCTCGAGGCCGTTTTAAATGAAAATTTTATTGTGGAAAAGCAACAATAATTTGAAAAAATGGTAGAAGTGATAGCTATTTCGGAAATCACCACATTTCCTCATCAGACTTCTTTCAGTAGGATTCGAACCGACGATCCCACTGACTCAGCCAGTTGCCTATGCACCGTGCTAAGTACGCCTTGTAAATTATCGTTTGCTTTTTTTCCACTATTTTCATTTTTAACCGACTTCCAAAAAAGGAGGAGGTTATCAGTTCGTCGGAATATTTTTTTTTTTTTTTTTTTTTTTAATGTATGTTACCGCTAACTTTGCACCATGTCAACCGATTTCAATAATTCTTTTTGCAACGGAAAGGTAGTGTCTCAGAGGTGGTCCCACACTAATTTGGTTTAGATCCGATCATTGGATCATGAAATATATAGATATATATATATTTTTTTTAAGTCGGTTTTTTTGCTAAAAATTACTTGTTGTTATGCCAACACAACCAAGCTCAGCTATTCTGCTGCAATTCACTTGATCATGTGGTTGTTGGTATTGTTGGTTTTTGCTAATAATTCTATTTTTAGAATGTTTAA